ACTGCAGGACAGTAGAAAGGGCTGCCACGGAGGTGACAAGAGCTCCTTCCTCTCCAACATGTGATGCTACACATCTCTGTGGGTGATCTAAGTTGGACTTTTGACTCTAAAACAGCTATAATCCAAGAAAGGTAAAATTCTAATGGAGGTAAAGAATCCTGACTGATTGTTCCCTTGGATGTCCAAATAAGGGACTGTCGTGAGTACTTATGCTACACTTACTATAAGAATGATATTGTTTGTCTTTCTCCTGGGCTGGATAGCGGACTATATTTTATTATAGGCTTTGAGAGACATCTGTCATGTTGCATAACTGTTCATATTAATAACTTAATAAATAGTATATGAAGCTATAATGGCATCATTTGGTTTTTTTCGTATATTTTATCTATATTTCCAACTCCTAGAATAGGGCTTGCTATTGATGTTCAACAAATATTTGTTGACTGAATGAATGAATCCTGCATCCATGAAGTTTCCAGACTGCCTGAACTAATTCCAGAAAGATAGACTGACTGACTGATAGAGAGTTTGAGATTTGATAGTTTGTCTGACTTTAGGGACAAAATTTTAACAAAAGCATCCTAAAATCATAGACGTGAGAGAAGTTACCATCTAGGCCAGCTACCAGCCATCAATTTGCTAATATGCTAGGAACTCCCATCTCCAACAAAATAAAGTGCAATTCAAAGTACTCATCATTGTATAGAAAGACCAGAAGGCTGTGATGGGGGCTACCGAATTATACGGTACACTGATGTGCCATTGCAGTGGATGGGAGAGTCTATAGACTGTACTTTCCCTTATCTCCTGCTAAATCTTAGTCCTAGAGACCACTATTAAGTTAGTTTGCTACCCACTTAGAGTACATTCCAAGGGAGACGACGGGAGGAAAGAACAGCACAACAAAGCTCTAACTGTCCATCTTGAGCCAGTACTAGAACATAGATGAAAAGGGCAGGAATTCAAGCAAAGAAGATGCCTGAGTGCAATGCACTAGAATACCCCCTTTCCCCCAGCCCTGTTAGCAACTTGGAGTCATGTCAACCCACCCGACTAGACTGTAACCTCATTGTGCTCAAAGCAAACACTAGCCCATAATCCAGTGTTTTCCTTGATTTAAAAAAACATGTTTTGAGCATACTGTCTGATAAGAATGGAGACACAGAAGAAAACTTTTTCATCTAAAATGATTTCTTGAATGGAATAGAATACAGTTCTCATATGCAAGCATTAGTCTGAAGGGTTCTGAAAAATGCTACATGTGAAGAATTCAAAAAGAAATGCTCTTTGGTATAATTAGGAGGCTTATTATCTAATTCTCTTGAACATACTGGGTGAGGATATCTAGATGTTAAGACATCTACTTAGGTGAGCATTACCCTTTGTATCCAGCTGTTACTGGAATCAGTAAGCTTAAAAGCCAGTTAACATTAGGACACTATAACATTTGTATTATACAAGTGTCTATTAAAAAGCATGTAATAATATTTGGGATGAGTCTTTATAGCTGGAGCCAGGAAAACTGAGGTCTTTTTTCACAGGTGTGATCTCTAACTTTGCCTACATACATACATACATATAAATAATATGCCATGTAACTTCGCTCTGTTGTCCAGGCTGGAGTGCAGTGGCACAATCTCGGCTCACTGCAACCTCTGCTTTCCAGGTTCAAGCGATTCTCCTGTCCCAGCCTCCCAAGTAGCTGGGATTACAGGCGTGCACCCTGATGCCTGGTTAACTTTTGTATTTTTAGTGGAGACAGGGTTTCACCACGTTGACCAGGCTGGTCTTGAACTCCTGACCTCAAGTGATCCACCTGCCTCAGCCTCCCAAAGTGTTGGGATTATAGGCGTATTTTTATAGGTGTGTCCGACTCAAGTGTTATGTACTTTAAAAGGGTGATACAGTGCGAAGAGTACTGTCTTATCTATAGTCATATCCTGGGTCTGTTACGTACCAGCTGTGTGACCATAGCCAAGTTAACTTAAACTCTTTGGGCCTGATTCTCAATAGGACAAGTTTAATAATCCCTACTTCCCTTAGGATTTTCATGACAATTGAAACTTTTAGACATTCAAGACAAGGTGACATGGAATTGTGATATCTTAGGGCCTAACCTGTATACTTCTCTCACTGCTGCAGGATTCCCAACTAAAAGGATTCAAAAAACAACCCTCAAACAGAAAATAGTATACCTATTAATAGTTTGTAATGTAGAAACAAAACGACTCACGCCTGTAATCCCATCTACTTGGGAGTCTGGGACAGGAGAATCGCTTGAACCTGGAAAGTGGAGGTTGCAGTGGGCCGAGATTGTGCCACTGCACTCCAGCCTGGATGACAGAGGGAGACTCCGTCCCAAAATAAAAATTAAAAAAAACTTTTAATGAAATTGAGCTTTTTAGCTGTAGCCACAGAGATTCTGTCTAACACTTTAAAAATGGACAATACACATCTGTCTCCTATTTATAACACTGAACAGGAACTTAATATGATGACAATTCATTTTTATATATTGGAACCAAAGTATCAAATCAAACTTAAGCCAGGTAGGTACTGCTGCCTGCGTTTCTTTTGACCTTTGCTCTCTTGATCTGGTGGTCTTCTCTGGTCTACCAGCAGGAAGCCCAGAGAAGGTCAGCACCTCTGACCTTGACCTCCCTTCAGGGAGGTTCTGCTTAGCATGTTGGTGCTTAGTTCCTTTATGTCTAGCATAGGCACATCAGACAGATACCTAAAACACTTAGAACTTAGGAAGGAAGGGATGATTGAATACAATTATAAGATGATATGAGAAAATATTAACCAGAGGAGCTTTGACTTCAGACTCATCTTTGGAGGAACCCAAAATAGTTCCTAATTTCAGTTAAAGCCAACTATCGGTAGACAGTTCCGTTGCCCCACCCTCCCTTTTCTCAGTTTCCAGAATGCAACCCACTCTCCACCATGCTTCTCCTACCATGACTTCCTTTTTTGTGTAGGTAAGAAAAGTAGAAGACGTGTTAATGAATCATATTCTGCTCTTTTCACCCACACAGCCTCATCCCTTAGTACCCAGCAGAAGTTAGAGGAACACAGCAGTGTCCATGTAGATACATCATATCCCAAAGTAATAACTATTAAGTCCTCTGCTTCCCACTTGCCTATTTCTTGTCCTCTTGTTACCCTATCACGATTGTGAAACGCAGCGACTTCCCCTAAGCCACAAGTGAGAACAAGATGTTCACTGACCTGAGAAAACCATCTGACAAAAATTCATTTCCTGTTCATAAGAAAACAGCCTCGCATTTGTGTTATAATATGATCTGACAGTTCATAGAAAGCATGCTTTGTTGTACCTGTGCCTAACGTCTGATGCAAAGCTTCAGAATGATGTTCTGGCATGCTTTCCCACAGCATTTGGCCAGTGTGTATTTTACATGGTTGAAGCATTGTGCCATGTGTAGCTATATCCTTTTTTTCCCCGACTTAAGAATTTCTCACATTACTAAGAACTCAAGTTTTTATAAACCTCTTTTTTAATGGATGCGTATTTTTTGTTCTTTGTTGTGTTCTTTGTGGTTTTGAGACGGGGTCTTGCCCAGGTTGGAGTGTAGTGGTGCAATCTTGGCTGACCACAGCCACAACCTTCTGGGCTCAACTGATACACCTCAGCCTCCCTAGTAACTGGGACCACAGGCATCACCACTATGCCCGGCTGCTTTTGTTTTTTGTTTTTTTAATGTTGCAGAGATGAAGTCTCGCTTTGTTGCCCGGGCTAGCCTTGAATTCCCAGACTCAAGTGATCCTCCCAAAGTGCTAGAATTATAGGCATGAGTCACCATAATCCCATATTCTTTAATTATATGGCTGTACCAGAATCTTACTTAACCTTTTCCTGCATCTAGACATTCAAGATATATTCTGAGTTTTAAAAAAACAAACCCCAAATGCTAGGTTGTGTGTGTTTTCAGGTGCTAGGGTAGTTCCTCAACTAAAAACTATCTGACCTGCCAGTCCCTCTATTTTCTGCCCCTAATTCTTAAATCAAAGGCCCCAGTCCTTTCTTCCTCAGGGATCCTGATCAATTCCTCAGTGTGGCAGAGCTGCCCTGCCCAGCCTCTGTGCAACCCTTCCTGATGCACCCTTACTTTTCGTCACCTCTTGAACACTCTACTCCAGCCAAGCCCTCCCCACTCTCCCAAGGGAACCCACAACAGCACCTCCTGCTGGGCAACCAAGCATTACATCACTTATATCCACTCAACATCTACCACCAGCCCGTTACCAAATGTATCAGAGTGGGTCTAGAGTGTATCAGAAGAGGTATAGAGCACACCTACAAGTACCTATGGAACGGATGTTTAGCTAATTGGAGTCTAATTGCCTCTTAGCACTGCCATCAACTGCTAGCAACATATTTGCACCTCTAACCAAACCTGTGAACCACCACTGATTTCTTCTAAGCTGATAAACACTCTCCAGGCACCACTCACATGGAGAGGGGAGGGAAGGAGTGGAGAGCCTTTTCTTCCAAAAGAGTCATCATTAAACACTCTTCATGCTCTTCATGATTCTATCACCTGGCCAACCCGTTTCTTCCTCTATAGACTAGGGATGGCAAACTAGGGGCCCTCGCATGTGTTTTGTTTGGGCCACATGGTTATTTTTGGGTTTTTTTTGAGACGGCATCTTGTTCTGTCACCCAGGCTGGAGTGCAGTGGTGCCATCTCAGCTCACTGCAAGCTTTGCCTCCCGGGTTCCCGCCATTCTCCTGACTCAGCCTCCCAAGTACCTGGAACTACGGGTGCCTGCCGTGCCCGGCTAATTTTTTGTATTTTTAGTAGAGACGGGGTTTCACCATGTTAGCCAGGATGGTCTTGATCTCCTGACCTCGTGATCCGCCCACCTCAGCCTCCCAAAGTGCTGGGATTACAGGCGTGAGCCACCACACCCAGCCTGGTATTTTTTTTTTACAAAAAGGAAGAAGAAAAGGAGAAAAGATGAATAGCTTTAAACATTTATAATTTAAGTGATTTTGAATAAAAATCCATTTCTCTGGCTTTTCTTTTAAAATGAGGAGATCTGGCAACCAGGGACTCTACATTTCAGGAGAAGAGCATGTGACTGGGGCCCCCTTGGGACAGAATACATCTCTCTACCGGATTAGATCCCCACCTGGTCATTCAGCTAAACTGCATAGCCCCTGGAAGCCTATGCATCTGTGACCCTGTGGATAGAGGCTGTCTGCTTCCAGAGCAGGAGAAAGGGAAATGGATTTTTAGGGACAGAGAACAGCACTATGGGAAAGGCCATGTTTAAAGGAGGTCCAAATATTTGACTGACGGTCATTTGTATGACCTGTACAAACTTGCACTGCCTTTAGCCCCCAGAGAAAAGACTTGCCATCCTGATAGTCAGTGACAGCTGCAGTCTGACAAGTGGCAGGAACATGAAAACAGCTGCAAGCCATGCCCAAGCCTGCACTCACCACATCCTGCTGATAGGAGGGAGCTGGTGCTGGCCCTCCCGTCCCTCTCCTCTCACAGGGCTGGCAGTAGCTTGTGGTGACTGCAGGAATTTAGAAAGTCCCTTAGCTGGGTCAGAAATGTAGCGCTTCTCCTGAGGCCAAAGGCATCTTCACCATCTTCTTTATCCCATGTGTCAGGGGATCTTATGCAATATGGAACCCTGCTCACCCAAGCTTACTGCACCCTGCTCTTGGAGGCCTCCCTTTGGAGAATTCCTAACACGACTCTACCTGCCAACCTCCCAGGCTAACCTATCAACCACAATTTCCTCTGTGTAGCCAACCCCACAGAAATGAGCCTCCTCATTTTAAAGGGCTCATACAATTAGAAGTTCTGCTCCATTCCAGCTAAGATTCCAGTGAAAAGAAACATTCTGCTCCCAAATGTTTCAACAATAGCATGTACCAAAGAACAGTATGTTCCCTATATACCCCGAGTGAGTAAGCCCCAACAGGCTCAAAGAAAGACCAGATAATTCTCCATGCCTTAAGCCAACAAGGGTTACATAGACCAGGAGCTAGAGCATGACAATGGCAGAGGAATAATTACCAAACCTTGCGTTCGCTCGGGGTGGCCAACCCATAGCCAAAAACGTGCCAGAACTCCTACATCCCTGCCATATTTGAAAAAGAATATAGTATCAAAAAGTGTTAAAAATGTCTTTGTGGAGTGTCCTCGGGGCGTAGGGGCCGACCGCACGCAGTCGCGCAGCGCTGCCTCCGCCTGCCAGTCTCGCCCGCGATCCCGGCCCGGGGCTGTGGCGTCGACTCCGACCCAGGCAGCCAGCAGCCCGCGCGGGAGCCGGACCGCCGCTGGAGGAGCTCGGACGGCATGCTGAGCCCCCTCCTTTGCTGAAGCCCGAGTCCAGAGAAGCCCGGGCAAACAGAGGCTAAGGAGACCAAAGCGGCGAAGTCGCGAGACAGCGGACAAGCAGCGGAGGAGGAGGAGGAGGTGAACCCAGAGAGGGGCAGCAAAAGAAGCGGTGGTGATGGGCGTCGTGGCCATGGCGGCGGCTATCGCCAGCTCGCTCATCCGTCAGAAGAGGCAAGCCTGCGAGCGCGAGAAATCCAACGCCTGCAAGTGCAGCCCCAGCAAAGGCAAGACCAGCTGCGACAAAAACAAGTTAAATGTCTTTTCCCGGGTCAAACTCTTCGGCTCCAAAAAGAGGCCCCGAAGAAGACCAGAGCCTCAGCTTAAGGGTATCGTTACCAAGCTATACAGCCGACAAGGCTACCACTTGCAGCTGCAGGCGGATGGAACCATTGATGGCACCAAAGATGAGGACAGCACTTACACTCTGTTTAACCTCATCCCTGTGGGTCTGCGAGTGGTGGCTATCCAAGGAGTTCAAACCAAGCTGTACTTGGCAATGAACAGTGAGGGATACTTGTACACTTCGGAACTTTTCACACCTGAGTGCAAATTCAAAGAATCAGTGTTTGAAAATTATTATGTGACATATTCATCAATGATATACCGTCAGCAGCAGTCAGGCCGAGGGTGGTATCTGGGTCTGAACAAAGAAGGAGAGATCATGAAAGGCAACCATGTGAAGAAGAACAAGCCTGCAGCTCATTTTCTGCCCAAACCACTAAAAGTGGCCATGTACAAGGAGCCATCACTGCACGACCTCACGGAGTTCTCCCGATCTGGAAGCGGGACCCCAACCAAGAGCAGAAGTGTCTCTGGCGTGCTGAACGGAGGCAAATCCATGAGCCACAATGAATCAACGTAGCCAGTGAAGGCAAAAGAAGGGCTCTGTAACAGAACCTTACCTCCAGGTGCTGTTGAATTCTTCTAGCAGTCCTTCGCCCAAAAGTTCAAATTTGTCAGTGACATTTACCAAACAAACAGGCAGAGTTCACTATTCTATCTGCCATTAGACCTTCTTATCATCCATACTAAAGCCCCATTATTTAGATTGAGCTTGTGCAAAAGAATGCCAAGCATTTCAGTGAACTAAATCTGGGAGAAGGACCGCCAAATTTTCTCATGATCTCACCTGTACTTTGGAGATGATAATCCAAAAAGATTTCACAGCACTAAAGCTGATCAAAATTTGCTCTCCCACCAAGAAAATTTCAAAGACCACAATTGTTCTTCAAAAACAAACAAAACAAAACATAACAAAATTAACTGCTTAAATATTTTGTCGGGGCAAACAAAATTATGTGAATTGTGTTGTTTTCTTGGCTTGATGTTTTCTATCTACGCTTGATTCACATGTACTCTTTTCTTTGGCATAGTGCAACTTTATGATTTCTGAAATTCAATGGTTCTATTGACTTTTTGCGTCACTTAATCCAAATCAACCAAATTCAGGGTTGAATCTGAATTGCCTTCTCAGGTTCAAGGTAACAGTGTTCTTGTGATTTTACCAATTTTTTTTTTCTTTTTTTTTTAGATTTGTAGTATTCTGGTCAAGTTATCATGCTGTACTTTGTGTGTAGAAATTGAGTTGTATTGTCAACCCCAGTCAGTAAAGATATCTTCAAAAAATTATCCTCAAGTGTAGATTTCTCTTAATTCCATTTGTGTATCATGTTAAACTATTGTTGTGGCTTCTTGTGTAAAGACAGGAACTGCGGAACTGTGATGTTGTCTTTTGTGTTGTTAAAACAAGAAATGTCTTACCTGTATATGTATGAGTCCTCCGGTCATTGTATTTGGCATATGAATATTGTGTGCAAGGAATTGTTAAGACTGGTTTTCCCTCAACAACATATATTATACTTGCTACTGGAAAAGTGTTTAAGATTTAGCTAGGTTTCCATTTAGATCTTCATATCTGTTGCATGGAAGAAAGTTGGGTTCTTGGCATCGAGTTGCATGATATGTAAGATTTGTGCATTAATAATTGTTAAAAATCTGTGTTCCAAAAGTGGACATAGCATGTACAGGCAGTTTTCTGTCCTGTGCACAAAAAGTTTAAAAAAGTTGTTTAATATTTGTTGTTGTATACCCAAATACGCACCGAATAAACTCTTTATATTCATTCAAAAAAAAAATGTCTTTGTGGCAAATATGAATTATTTCTTCAATATCCAGCTCTCCTTATTAACAGAACCCCGATTTTCTTCAGGGACTGGTATGCCAAGCTTCAAATAGTCCAATTTTCCAGCTTTCCAAGCTAGTGCTACAGTTCTATAGAAATCCCCGGATACGGCATCCTTTAGTGAATAGAAAGGAAAAAACCTGCTGGACAAACACTGTTTGCCCCTTCACTTTTTCCTTTTTTTCCCCTCCTTCTTGTCTCAGATAGGGACCCAAGAAGTACAGCAGCCCTTTAGCAACCATTAGGTAGAAACGTGAGGATGAAGGCCTGTACCTTAAGGACAGTGGAGCAGAAAAGTACAAAGAGCCTGGGCCCACAGGAGCATCAACGAGCTGGAGTAGCAGCCCTATGCTGAGAACCCTCATGCTGATGGCAGGAGACACACACCGGCCTGTTGAAATCCCTCAAGCAGGGTTTTCCATTATTTCAAAAGGATTGAAATTTTGATTCATGAAGCTAGTTGTTAATGTATCAAAATCTCCCCCGGGACAATTTGTTCTGCTTAAAGGCCATGGCCACAGAATTCATGACAACAGAATCCAAAGGATTTAAACAACTGGGGCTACCAGTTTTAACCCTCAAAGTTCAAAAATACCCCAAACAGCCTGACTCTCTAACTCAACAGCCTTCCTCACTACCCAAAGATTTACTGAACACTTACTATGTCAGGTACTGTGTTGGAAGAAGATAAACATGAACCTGACTATTGAGCAAACAAGTAAGGGCTTTAACCAAGGCATGAACAGAGTTATGGGGTTCTGTAGAGGTGACTCTGGGTGCTCTGGGCATCCGGGGGCAGAGGGTACATAGGAAGGAAGGGTGGAAGCAAAAGAAAAGGCTGGGAAAATAGAGCAGCAGAGATGGCGGGGGCAGGAAGTGGGCATTAGCCATTTTAACTTTGTATTATATAACGGAAAAACCAAGGTTTCTACATAAAAGATGTGTATATTTTCTTTATGTTTTGTTCTAGAATCAGAATTATTACTAATGAGGGTGGGGCAGGCTAGCTTTCTGCTAATTTCCTTTCTGGAAATTAATAGGTAATTGTGATGAATTCCTAATGTCGAGAGACAATTCTCGATGGGTGTCTTGTGTTTCTATACCTCTGTGAAAGACAGCTTCAGCTTTTGTCTTTTTAACTACCTTTTCAAGGATGTTTACATACCAAACAGCCTTGTAAGATAGAGACAGTGTCTCCCTGGGACAGGCATTTATTTTTACTGTACAGAAATAAAGATAAGGTCTCCCTCGGGGGCAAAGGTTGGTCAGGATCGCTTGCAGGCCCCTTTATGAGACTGGGGTTTCCTAAACTCAGGGTTCCTTTGTTGGGTCATAAACCTGCTGTGTGTGTAGTATCCATCTGGGTCACTGTTCCCCGTGGGACTTGGGAAGCAAGAGAAACTACTGCAAATATGAGATTCATTTTACCAGAGGTGCATGCATAATAAAATCCTTTTAGTCTGACCCAGGAGTCTCAGGCCTTCTCTCAGCATCTATGTACCTGTGGCAGGCTAACTTGTTAGCTTGCAAGGAGGTTAAAATCTCAAACACTTCACAATTTTTGATGCTTAAACTAAGATTTTGAGAGAGGAATGGTCTGGGATACTTTTATGGGGCTAGAGATTGGAAAAGAAGATAATTCTGAAGTATCTGAGTTGGGTGACTGGGCAGAAGATGGTGGTTGTATTAAAAGGAGGAACACAGAAAGGAAAGCGGGTTCCTGTAAAATGAGTTGGCTTTGACACATTTGGTTAGAGATGCCTAGAGGATCTTGAGGACGAGATAGGCAGGTGGGCAGGTGGGCAGGTTCTTATTCCAGCTGAACCATGAGTACAGGGGATGCTCCATAAACAAACTGAGCCCCCCAGGCCTCAGTGCTCCACTTGGCACTTCCTAAACTCACACGTCATTGCGTTGTCTCAGGGTCCCCAGAACACACCAACAACAGATCCACTTTTTTTAAAAGTATGCTTAAATCAGTCAGACATGGTGGTGTGCACCTGTAGTCACAGCTATGTGAAAGGTTGAGGTGGTCGGATTGCTTGAGCCTGAAAGGTAGAGGTTGCAGTGAGCCATGATCATGCCACTGCACTCCAGACTGGGTGACAGAGCAAGACCTTGTCTTAAAAAAAAAAAACAAGGCGTGCTTTTCCCAAAACTTAGGGAATCAAATTCCCGGAGCTGGAGCCTGGGCATCTGAATTTTTTTAAAGCTCCAAAGGTGATTCTGATCTGCAGCCAGAGTAGAAAAACGCCAACTATTAGAACCAAGGGCAATGACACTTTCCCTAAAGTCCTCAGAGTATGGCCTGGCCAACAAGAGTCCTCACCTTGTTTGGTCAAGTAGGTGGCCATTTCCTGAATTGGTAGCCCGGGATTTCTGTTCGACCTCCATCCTTTTTGAGGCCACTGAGTTCTGACTCAGGGACCAATTATCACTTGCCAAGTAAAGCACTGTACTTAAAGAGATCAGATATCCTGAGCCAGCCAGCTCCTAGATGTTGCTCTAAAGTAGACATTATCTCCCAGAATGGTTCAGAGATTTTTCTGCTCCCCTAAACTTTCTGGAATCCTGCCTGACACATCCTCTGGATTAATCATCAGGATACCCTCATGCCCAGCATATGGGGCATAGCCCCAGATACAACCATTCCCTACCCCCATCATCCTTATGAAAAGCCATGTTCTCTCAGACTTCTGAAGTCTTTTGCTGATAGTTTGAGACTTTGAGCTTTTAGAGAAGGCAGAGGGGATGGTTGTGTGCTTGGTTAGCTCATGGCCTTTCTCCTTAGCTTTCCGCGTGCCCATGTGTACCTCATAGCCCTTCCACATGCTGACATGATATCTTCCTGTCTTGGAAAGGCTTTTTTCTCTATATGATCATGTCATCAGCAAACAGCAACAGTGTGGCTTCCTCTTTACCAATTTGGATGCCCTTTATTTCTTTCTCTTGCCTAATTGCTCTGGCTTGGATTTCTAGCACTATGCTGAATAGAAGTACTGAAAGTAGGCATCCTTGTCTTGTTCCAGTTCTCAGGAAGAATACTTTTAACTTTTTCCCATTCAGTATAATGTTGACTGTGGGTTTGTCATGGATGGCTTTTATTATCTTAAGGTATTTCCCTTCTATGCCAATTTTGCTGAGGGTTGTAATCATAAAGCGAGGCTGGATTTTGTCAAATGCTTTTTCTGCATCTATTGAGATGACCATGTGATTTTTGTTTTTAATTCTGTTTATGTGGTGTATCACACTTTCTGATTTGCACATGTTAAGTATGCAGGGATGCAGAACACATCCCTGGTATGAAAAGCACTTGATCATGCTGGATTATCCTTCTGATATGCTGTTGAATTTGGTTAGCTAGTATTTTCTTGAGGATTTTTGTATCTACATTTATCAGGGATATTGGTCTGTAGTTTCCTTTTTTGTTATGTCCTTTCCTGGTTTTGGTATTGGGTTGATACTGGCTTCATAGAATGACCTAGGGAGGATTCCCTGTTTCTCTGTCTTTTGAAATAGTGTCAATAGAATTGGTACCAAATCAATCTTTGAATGTCTGATAGAATTCAGCTATGAACCTGTCTGGTCCTGGACTTTTTTTTTCTTAGTAACTTTTTTTACCATTTCAATATCACTGCTTGTAATTGGTCTGTTCAGAGTTTTTATTTCTTCCTGGTTTAATCTAGGTAGGTTGTATATTTCCAGAAATTTACCTATCTCCTCTAGGTTTTCTAGTTTATGTGCGTAAAGGTGTTCTTGGTAGCCTTGAATGTTTCTTTTGTATTTCTGTGGTATGGATTATAATATCTCCTATTTCATTTCTAAGTGAGCTTATTTGGATCTTCTCTCTTCTTTTCATGGTTAATATCACTAATGGGCTATCAACTTCATTCATCTTTTCAAAGAATCAGCTTTTTGTTACCTTTTGTATTTTTTTGTTTCAATTTCATTTAGTTCCGGCTCTTTGTTATTTCCTTTCTTCTGCTGAGTTGGGGTTTGGTTTGTTCTTGTTTCTCTAGCTCCTTGAGGTGAGACCTTAGATTTTCTATTTGTGCTCTTTCAGATTTTTTGATATAAGCATTTAATGCTATGAACTTTCCTCTTATTACCCACCACCTCTGCTGTATCCCAGAGATTTTGATAGGTTGTGTCACTATTATCACTGAGTTCAAAGAATTTTTTTTTTTTTTTTTTTTTTTTTGAGACAGAGTCTCACTCTGTTGCCCAGGCTGGAGTGCAGTGGCATGATCTTACAAGCTCCACCTCCCAGCTTCACGCCATTCTCCTGCCTCAGCCTCCTGAGTAGCTGGGACTACAGGCGCCAACCACCACACCCGGCTAATTTTTTATATTTTGTACAGACAGGGTTTCACCGTTTTAGCCAGGATGGTCTCGATCTCCTGACCTTGTGATCTGCCTGCCTCAGCCTCCCAAAGTGCTGGGATTACAGGCGTGAGCCACCGCACCTAGCCGAGTTCAAATAACTTTTAAATTTCCATCTTGATTTAATTGTTTACCCAATGGTCGATCAGGAGCAGGTTATTTAATTCCATGTATTTGCATGGTTTTGAGGGTTCCTTTTGGAGTTGATTTCCAATTTTATTCTACTGTGGTCTGAGAGAGTACTTGTTATAATTCTGATTTTCTTAAATTTGTTGAGACTTGTTTATTGGTCTGTCATATGGTCTATCTTGGAGAATGTTCCATGTGCTGATGAACAGAATGTATATTCTGCAGTTGTTGTGTAGAATGTTCTGTAAATATCTGTTAAGTTTATTTATTCTAGGGTGTAGTTTAAGTCCATTGTTTCTTTGTTGACTTTCTTTCTTGATGACCTGTCCAGTGCTGTCAGTGGAGTACTGAAGTCCCCCAGTATTATTGTGCTGCTGTCTATCTCATTTCTTAGGTCTAGTAAGAATTGTTTTCTAAATCTGGGAGCCCCAGTTTTAGGTGA